CGTTTGATCGCTTGGGCCCATTCACCATATAAGGCTATCTGCTCATCTTTTCTTGGGCCAGGTAGGCCCACATTCTTGAATAAAATGATAAATTATTTTGAAATTTGCACCAAAATGTGCATATATCCCCTAAACTTTTTCTTTCAACAATAGGCGGGAGAGAAGTTTCAAGCTGGAAACGTCTTTTAATTTTACAAAGAGAAAGAAACACTAAATTAAGAGTTAGTTGATATATACTTCATAACAGTCAAACTACGATCAATATGGGTTGTGTTTATACATTTCCAAAGGTTCAAATTTGTACAAAATTGATGTATGTTCAAATAAAGATGGCAAAACATATTGATCGTAGTTTAAAAGGAAAGCAACCAAATTTGGAAAGCACAACCCGAATAAGATTAAAAGGAAGTAATGCTTGATAGGTAAATTCTAATTTAATTTACAAATAGAACCACAACAAATTCAAGGTAACCAACCAAATTTGGTAGTGCTAGAAATTTCCAAGCTAGAAGAAGAATTAAAAGAAAAATAGTTTGGAGTGATTAATTACATACCACAAAGGGCATGCAGGAAAATATACAGACAATAGTAACATATTAAAATCATCATATAGCAGTTTGTCATTTGTTTTCTTACCAACCCAGCTCTAATTGTGCATATGAAAACAATGGAAAGTAGCTTAATAAGCAAGGTAAAATCCTATATAATCCTTTAGTAATCCGGTTTGAATTTGGTGAAAGGGCTTATAACTCAAGTGATTTATGAGCATTTACCTCAATATTTGAGGTCTTAAGTTCGATTTCCCTCTCCCTATAAAAATCCAGTTGAGATTTGAGTTGTAATATTTGATCACTCAACTTTGTCACACAACTGTTAGATGCATGAACGAAACGGGAGAGATTAATTGCAGCAGAGTCAAATTCAAAAACAAAGAAACTGAAGGGCTTTTCCTAATGATGACAAATTGACAATTGGCTTTGAAACCCTGACTCAAGCCATGCATATGCTGCCTTATACCACAAAAATAAAATATAAAATAATAATCTGGGTTTTGTACAAAATCCAAATAAATTTTAGATGCCAAAATATATTTCACAAAATCTGATGCTATCCAACTCATTAACCAAAAGCTTGAGCCAACTTTATATCCCTCTTTAACTCTCAATTAAATCCCAATTTCTTTGCTTTTCCTCACCCTCAATTGCTTCTGTTTGGTTCATTTTGAGTGAGAACAAGAAATCATGGAAAATAGGGATCAGGGTGCAGCTCAAAACCATGCTTGTGCTTCGTGCAAGCAGCAGAGGAGAAAATGTGATGAGACCTGTGAAATGGCCCCATACTTTCCAGCCAGCAGGTACAGTGAGTTCCAAAATGCTCATAAGATCTTTGGTGTGAGCAACATCCAAAAGATCATGGCCATGGCTGCACCTGATCAAAGACAGGCAGCTGCTGAGAGCATTCTCACGGAAGGGAATGCAAGGAAAAATGATCCTGTGCATGGTTGTCTTGGCATTATCAGAGGTCTCAATGCCCAAATTCAGGGACTTGAAAGAGAACTCCATATTATGAAACAGCACCTAGAACTTTGCAAGGAGAAGGAAGAACTTGATGGAAAAATAAACCAATCAAAACAAGAAGACTTGCAGCATGATCAATCTGATGGTCTCAATTTCCCATCACAAATCCTTCCTGATCTGGCAAGACTATGATCTTATTTTTTCTCTGCCTCCTTGTATTTTTTTTGTTTAACCAAAACAACATACATATACACATAAATAACTGATATGTGAATATTTATTCTGTGTAATGTAGCCCTCTCATGTCATGGCTGAGATGAGAAAATATGAACAAGGATACAATTACTGGTCAACTTTGGAAGATGCAGAAGAGAAGGTCTTTGACATCCGGCTCATAGAACCAGTATTATTTGAATCCAATCTGAAGGGGAATGCAAGTTCTAGTGCACCAGGAGAATCCAGGTTGTGCAGAACTTCATACTTTTGTTTGATAATGTTTATTTGTTGTTTTTTTATTTATATAGAGATGGAAAAGAGAAAGAGGAAGGGGAGATAGCTAGGTGGGAGGATAGATAACATTGTTTATATGGAGCGTGCGATGAGATAAATTTAAAAAAATAAAAAATAAAAAAGAAGCGTCATTTGTAATCCCCCAATGCTCCCGCGCTAGCGCGGGGAGCGTAAATAGGGGTATATATTATTTAATTGTTATTTGTACTCCCTCCTCACTCATGATACACACGTCACGTGCAAATAACTTCGCCTCTTAAAAGTAAAAGCTTAAAAGAAATTCAAACATCTAATTTTGGAATCCATTTTTGTCATTTCATAATGTGCTCCTTTGTAAATCACATTTCTTATAATATAATTGATTCTCACAATAATTGCAGAATATTGATAATCTTAGTAATCTTTTTCTAATAAAAGTGATTAATGTTTTGCGCCTTTGGTAATAAGTTTTGAATTAATCATATTTTTTCTTCTATGAAATATTTGTAGTGCTGCTGCCTCCAAGGCCAAAGAGAAGCAACCTTCAGAGAGTTTGCGAGAGAAAACTACAGAAGATGAGGCTTGACCATCCAGAACAGACATGGAAATGGTCGCACATCAAGAATGAATTTTACTTTGTGATCAAATTTAGTTAATTGAGTTGAAAGATCATTAGACTTTATGCAAACCTGTTTTCTGCGTATCGGCAGACTTCAATTGCGTTTTGAGATTATCAGTTTTTTCAGTACTTTGTTTTTGCTTCCAGTTCTTCCAACAGCAGAAATCAAAGACAAGAGAGGAGCAATGGATGCATCTAGTGTTTTTGAATGTACTTGCAATAGCTCAAGCTGGTATTCAGTTTGAGCCCACACACCTTTGGCAAAATCATTCCGCAAATACGATCTTAGGGCCGTGCGATATTCAGTTTTCGTCACACCAGTTAACTGGATTTGGACAATTACATAATGATTACAAATGTTATTTTCAGAACAGGGGAGCTACTAGAAAACAAAACCTATCGAAAGGAATGCAACCACATGAAGAAAGAAACGAAAAGGTAGAAACTCCAGACTCACTGTGGATATATAGTTGATTGTCATTTTTCCCAAGTGTAGATGCAACTCTGGAGAAATACTTTTGTGTCAACTCCACCACTGCAACACGACAATGAATCACCACCAACAACCAAACAAAAAGGCAAACCTCGGTTTTCTCCTAATTTTTAAAAGAAATCGTATAGCCGGGCGGCTTTACTCGGCTATTTTATTTAATAAATAGTGTAGCCGCGCGGCTATAATCATTTTTCCTTATTTTTTCAAAGAAATCGTATAGCCGATCGGCTTTACTCGGCTTTTTTATTTTATTTTATTTAACAAATAGTATAGCCGCCCGGCTATACGCGGTGTTTTAATTTTAATTTTTTTAAATATCGATTTTTCCTTTTTTTAAAATTAAAGAAAGACTAATAAGAGAAAACAAATGGCACATGCACTCCAAAAGAAACATATTATACAAAGATCAAGGCAGTTGCTATGGCTGAAACCAAAACTTGCAAGGAATCATAGGGGTCCAGCTGATGCAATTGCATCAGCAACCAACAGACGCTTCCTCATTTATGAAGTCAGCATGACTAATTTATTATTATCAATTTCAAAAAATAATTTCAACCAAATAGAAACCCACAAAAGTAAGATGGAATATAAAGGTATACCAATTTCTGAGCTGTTTTTGTTGTGTCCTTTCGAGAATGAACGAATACCATTGCCATATGCTTCACAATATGGTTCACTAGCCATATGCTTGACAATACCAGGAAAATCCTCCAAACTATGGCCACACAAATATGAAGAAATGATAAAACTGGCTATATATAACTTAGAGAGAGAGAGAGAGAGAGATGTTGATGAAGAGAGAGATACCTCTGTAATGCTCAACCAGTCCAAAACAAAACTCACAAAAACCACAACCAAAGGGAACCCTACAGCAAAACATTGACATTTGATACCTCTGTAATGTGTCAATGAAATTGATCAAAATGAAAACTTGAGCAGACAAATTCTTCTGTAACAATTCCTACTAGTCTGAACAAAGGTTTAAGAAAAAACTTGTGAACAAAATACACGATATTTACTGTCACATACTGAACAAGCTCTTATCAAAACTTGTCAAGTTAAGTGAAAAGATCAGTCACAATAAAATGAGTTAATTTTGACTGCAGAGCTCATACTAATGGCAAGCTGATGTGCAAAAGACTACATATTCAAGAATTCTTTGTAACCAGAATATAGAAGTTGATTAACATATTAAGACTTCTTTTTTGGACCAATACAGGAAAATTTTTGCAGAGAAGCATCAAATGAACAATTCAACATAAGCAGGATCTCAGAAATTACAAGTAACCCATATGAATAGCATCACTGAGCAAATATCATTCAGACTTCTGAGTACTAGAGACTTCAAATGAGATACAAAAAAAACAAACAAAAACAACTGAAAAAACAGAAACCAAAGAATTCTATAACCGTAATAGGAAACACAGTGGACCCATAATGTCAAAATCTAAAAGCATTTAATCACTTTCTATGAAAAATAATCAATCAGTGACTATCATCTGAATAAGAAGAAAGTGAAGCCTCTAAGGTTTTCATTTTCCTCTTTTGTTTAACAGTTAAAAGCGCACGGAGCACGCATAATTTGATAAAAGTGACCTGAGTTTCTTCAAGTTCGTTCTTAGAAAGCTGCATGTCTCCAGTAAGTTCTCTCACAGTCATATTCAATGGAGATACGCGATGGCTAAAAGTTTATGTAACATCTGCAGCTAATGCCTGAGAAATACATGATAATAAGTAACAAGCCACTATTTTCAATGCCTACTTCTCCCCCCCTCCAACTCAGAAAATAAAAAAAGGAAAAGAGTTATATAGGGTGGATACCTTCATTGGCGCAACATAAAGTATCTAAAATTCATCTTTATGCAAGTAACCGTCTTTGAAGCGCTGTCCAATCTGCCACAGAAAATGCCGACTCACTATCTAAATCTCATAATGGATGATATACTCGCAAACTGAATATTTTCAAAAACTAAATAGGTTGAATTCAACATGAAAAGTACTATGAGTACATCACCATGACATAAAAGGACTCGAATAACTAAGGCAGCCAAAAGCTTAGTTTTCCTTGCTTTATTTTGCAAGCTCATATCGTTAACACACTAACCCTCCCAGAAAAATCTATACAATACCAGCTCATATGACATTACAGCCATTCCCATGCCATTTTAACTATGCAATTAACCCAGATTAGCTCTTACACAATACAAAAACAAATGTGTGAATTTGAGATCAAGCCAAAGTAGTAAGAGAAAAAGTAAGATTACCAATCATTTGCATACCTCATGTAGAATAGAAATCATAGCTATTTTTGTTTTGCCAGCTCCTGTTGGAGCACAAACCTGAAAGTAAATGAAAATCACATTATTCAAGCATATCATTCAACACTTTCACTGCAATGGTTTGGTATTCACATAATCAACAGAATCAATAACTTACTAGTATATTTTCATTAGTGTAATAAACAGTATGAAACATGCGGCTCTGAATACAGTTCAGAGACTTATATCCACGAAAAGCAGCCTGAGCGAATTCATCAATCTTCCTTATCTCAATCGGACAGCATAAGACAGTAAACAGAAATAGAGTTCAGTAGGTGATAAAAGAAATAGCAAGCAAGGACAATCCTATTTGTTTAACCACCAGAAAACGTGCAAATTATTATGGCTAGTTTGTCAGAGAACTCCAATTGCATCACAAACTCCATACTGGAAATATATATTCACACAATTATCTTAGAGCTACAAAGAATTTCATACTCAATATCATTTCCTAAAGAGAGTACTATCCAGAGGCTTATACATGTCACATACATTCTATCCAATCCCTTTCCCCTGTTCGAAATCAATATCAAATTTTCATAAGACCTAGTTTGGTTTGGCCTGTGCATGTTCAGATGCAAGCAGAACAATAGTCTGTGAAAAGGATGAGTTTAAATCTAAATCACCAAATATTCCACACAAATTTAAATCTATTTCTTTTTTCTACTTACAGTAATTGAAAGTTCTATTGAAAAGGACGAGTTTTCAAAGTCATTCTTAATTATCAAAACAATCCAAAGCCAAGCCACAAAAGAAAGGACCAAGTCGATCACTACTCCTTTTGGTCTCTCATTCTACCTTGTTTTAGGCTCCTCCCCACATTGGCAAGAATCCCATGCTAAACTTCTTCGAGTTCAACAAGGGTACGTGGGAGCAGCAGCACAAAGATACTTTCTCGATTTCCCCCACACTTAATTTACCATACATTAATCCCCCCTTCTATATAAATGCTTTAGAAAGCATGCACAAGTCAACACACTCAAACACAGCATACAGCCATACACAAACACTTAGCTACTCTTGGCTCACAGCCAAGCCTTAACATAAATACGTAAGAGACTCAGAGAAGAGAATAGAATGACTAGCGCAGGATTTGCTGGGATGATGATTCAGTGTGTGTTTGAAGGAAGCCTGTCAATGGGGGACTCCGAAATTGAGCAAAGGCCTTACCATAAGAACTGCAGTTTCGCTCTGCACATATTCCTCCGGTAATTAAACATTATTGTCACCTTTCTTCAATACAACTGAAAATACCATTTAAAATAGCAGCCCATAAGTGAAACACAGCGTTTCACTAACCTATCTTCATCTTGTTTTGGACGAACCCTATCCTCACTTATCTGTCATCTCTCCGCCTCCATCACCTCCCGTCTCTCTCTACCTCCACTGGTTGGGTCGAGAAGAGTAGAGAAGCAGCCACCCGACCCGCCCAGGCCGCCTAGGCAGGCGCCCAAGCGCCGCCTAACTCCCTGGCGCCTACCCTAACGTTTAGGGTGAACTCGCGGCGGTGTTCTCCCTCCTAGCGCCTAGGAGCCGCCTAGGTTTTAGAGGCTTATTTTCATTTTCAAAAAACAAAAACAAAGCAAAAACGTGTTCGGTAGGCAAAAACAGAAAACATTGAAAATGTTTTCATAAAATGAAACCAACTTCACGTTTACTTCTACAAAACAAAAAAAAGTTGTTTTTGTTCTCCTAGAAAACAAACGCTCAAAACACTCTCTTGCTCAATCTTCTCTCCCAATCAGACCAAAAACCAAAATTCTTCTCTCCTCACTCACCCTTCTCTTCTCTCCCCCTTTCTTGACCACTCTTCTCTCTGGCTTGGCTCACTCCTCTCTACCAACAGGAACAACACCCATCTTCTCTGACCCAAAATAACACAAATCTGCAAACTAAGAAAAAAAATACAGAGGAAGAAAGAAAAGAAAAGAAAAACAGAGACAAGAAGAAGAACCACCATATACCCAGCTCAACCACCATCATCACCCAATCAAACCACCACAACCATTAATTAGTGGAACCTAGAGAGAGAGAGAGAGAGAGAGAGAGATGGGTGGGTGTATGAGATTCATGCCATGGAAGGAAGGAGGAGTGGGTGCGGCCTGGGAAGGAAAGGAAGAAGAAAAGAGGAAGAAAATGAGAAAAAAGAAATGGCCTTGGGAAGGAAAGGAAGAAGAAATGAGGAAGAAAGAAGAAAAGATGAAGAAAAAGAGAAACAGTCGTGCGAAGGAAAAGAAGAAGAAAAGAGGAGGAAAGAGAGAAAAGGAGAAAAAGAAGAAAAAAAGAAAAGAAAAAAGAAAGGAGATAAAATAGTTTTTTAGCTTTAATTTTTTTCATTGTTTATAATAATAATTTTAGCCTCTAAAAATATCAGAATTATAAAAAATACACCTGAAAAACAATTGTACTACCAGACACGTTTTCATTGTTTTTGTTTTCTGAAGATGTTTTCTAATTAATCTACCAGACGCATTTTCATTTCCTGAAAATGCAAATTTGTTTTCTTATTTTCATTCTCTGAAAATATTCTCTGAAAACACTCTCCGAAAACGTTACCAGACGGGCCCTTAAAGACCAAACGCGAGTTTCACCTAAACTTAGTGGCTTTACCCACGTGACAATGACATCTTCTTGCTTCTTTTTTTATGGATCAGAACACGACGTCGTTGAGTGTGTTTTGAGAAGACCAAAAAAAGTCAGAAATCCTCATCTTCTTCCTCGCGCTAACAGAGCGCCTCTGCAACGAGGTAGCCGCCTGCAAATCAAGCAATTGCAGGGGTCACATTTCTTCTCCCCAAGCCATGGTTTCTGGTTTGCAGGGGTCAATTGACCCCCTTTGCCCCAATGTGGATCCGCCAACTTTGAAGGAAGCCCGTCAATGCGGGACTCCGAAATTGAGCAAAGGCCTTACCATAAGAACTGCAGTTTCGCTCTGCACATATTCCTCCGGTAATTAAACATTATTGTCACCTTTCTTCAATACAACTGAAAATACCATTTAAAATAGCAGCCCATAAGTGAAACACAGCGTTTCACTAACCTATCTTCACCTTTTTTTGGACGAACCCTATTCTCACTTATCTCTCATCTCTCCGCCTCCATCACCTCCCGTCTCTCTCTACCTCCACTGGTTGGGTCGAGAAGAGTAGAGAAGCAGCCACCCGACCCGCCCAGGCCGCCTAGGCAGGCGCCCAAGCGTCGCCTAACTCCCTGGCGCCTACCCTAACGTTTAGGGTGAACTCGCGGCGGTGTTCTCCCTCCTAGCGCCTAGGAGCCGCCTAGGTGCCGCCTAGGTCTATTTTGAACCTATTCTGAAGTGCCACCACCAACCCCGAGAGAAAGAGAGAGAGAGATAGTGGGGGTAATGAAATACAAACATACACTGCTACATACATCTATACACATATTTACAGTATTACCTGAAGAAGCAGCTCCATCTCCACCAGAAGATATACCAGTAGACTGCAACTGGTTGGCGAATTTATCAGCTTCCTTCGCATTATCCTATGCATAGACATGACGCCCAGTCTTCTCATGCTTATCTCACACATGCTTGTTTGCGAATCTCATGCCACAACCCGAAAAGCTACAGACAATAGGTTTATGTTCAAGGTGTACTGCCTTGACATGTTGATGGAGATTTGATTTCTGCCAACGTATAAGCAAAATGAGAAAACGAAACAATAAAAAAAAACTAACAATGGCAATACTCCGGTTTCTCAGGTTTCTCCGGTTTCTCCAATTGTTTTTATTTCGGCTTTAGTCCTTTTTCAAATTTTTTTAAAGCAATAGTATAGCCGAACGGCTATCCTAGTTTTTATTATTTTTTTTAAAAGGAAGCAGTATAGCCGTTCGGCTATACCCGGTTATCCCTAATTTTGTCACAAAGAAATGTTATGGCCGTGCGGCTATACTCTGTTTTTTTCTTTTTTTCTTTTTTAAGAAGTATATCCACGCGGCGTTACTCGACTCTTTTTTTATATTATTTTTTCTTAATAAATAGTATAGCCGAGCGGCGATACTCATTTTTTCTTAATTTTTTAAAAAAGAAATAGTATAGCCGCCCGGCTTTACTCGGCTTTTTTTTTTCCCTTAATAAATAGTATAGCCGTGCTGCTATACTATTTATTAAAAAAAAATTAAAAAGGACAAAAATGTGCAACAACTGCTTGGCTAACTACAATTCGTCAAATGGATATCATCGATATTCAAGGACCACAAATTGATTCTGAGCCAAACTCCATTGACTAAAAATGTAATTAACCCATAATTATTTATCCAACAACTGCTATTCATTTGAAAAATAAAATTGCTAAATTTTAAATTTAACTTTTGAGGTGAGACCCAATGAATGAAGGAATTACTAACGTGAAGTTACCTAGCTATTTATGATGTTATTTTTCTCTATAAGTGAAGTCTAATTATTTTGAGTGCTTTAACATTGTATATTTCGATAGTGATGTATAGACACCAAAATTGCTAAATTATAAATTTAACTTTTGAGGTGAGACAAAATGACTTAATCAAAGGGATGCAAATGATCAACTAAATCAAAGGACGCCTGCAATTGATCAACAATAATTCTGCCATTTCCTTACATCCACCAATTAATAATTTGAGGCTCACCAGA